GGCCATATTCACAACTTTAACTTATAAAGTGTGTTATTCTTTGTTAAGAAAGTCCATAACATTGTTTTAAAAAAATTCTAATTTATGATATTTATCACTTTAGCTGATCCCATAATCAGAGAGTATTTCAAAATGTCAACTTCTAATAATCTAAAATATTTGACATTTAAGTTTCATTTTCAAATTAATATTTTTTTATGCGTGAGACATTTTTTGGATAGGCAAAAAAATTTTTTTTTCAAAAATCCAATCTCTGACTAACGTTCTCAAAACTAAAGATGTTAAAAGAAGAACTGAACAAAATTAATATTGTATAATTTTTTAGTATCGACAGTTTTATGTAAGTATATATATATATATATATATATATATATATATATATATATATATATATATATATATATATATATATATATATATATATATATATATATATATATATATATATATATATATATATATATATATATATATATATATATATATATATATATATATATATATATATATATATATATATATATATATATATATATATGCATTGGCCAAATCACAAATTTTTTTCCATTAATTAAATTATTATTAAAATTTAAAGATTTTGGAATGCCCGTTTATTTTGTGTAGGTATTTTATGTTAGTCAATATGATGCACCCTGAAAAGATCTCGAGGCGGACTTTACTAAGCGCCAGAACTAAACAAGGACTCACTTAGTGACATAACAATTGTTTAGGAGAGATTCGCGTTTTTTGATAACGTTTACAAGTTTTGGTAGGCTGGGATCGTTTCTAATATAAGTGTAAATGGAACTGGAAATGTAATGTGTTTATGGGTCACATTATTGGTCTAAACTACTAAATAATAATTATAATATTTGGAACGCAAAATACTTGACGCCAATAGCAGCATTATACAAGATGGAAAAAAGTTCAGCATATTGCTAATAATTTAAATAAATGTTGTTTTTATGAACAATAAAAAAAATTGTTTAGTATTGCACAGCTGATACTGATATGATCTTGAACGGTGCTTCTTTTTTCCTCTTTCCATTGCTAGGGTACCGAAAATCCCGGTAGGTCTTTGTAAAGCCCACATAGAGACTATGGGACCCCACAAAGAAAAAAGTATAGTTTGACACAAGAACTACAACTACAATCGCAATTAACTTATCTATTTGTGAGTTCACAGTATGTGGTACCGATATCTCGACCGATACACTATTTACATAATTAAGGACCGTGAGTAAATAGTAGATGACGTAAAAACTAGGGGCTGTTCCAGGACACTACGCTGACATATACATATTAAAGATATGATAAATTATATATTACCTTTTATTGGCAATTGTATACTATTAAAATAAGGAGCAATAAATATTTCACTGAACATACAACACGCACATTAGTAATTTCTATAGTTCCAGTAAATTAGCAGCATCTCTTCTAGATGCTCAGGAGTTAACTTTTGACGCCTGTTGCTCAAAATACACATACAAGTACAAACGATTCTTTAAAAGATCGAATAGATATTAAATATGTGAAGTATAAACTGGCAAAACCAAAAAGTATTTATAACTCATGAAAGAATGTAGATATAGAAAAAAATAAATGGAAAACACATTCACACTCGACATTGGCAGCTCTATCAGTCACTTTGGACGAAAAATAAAAAAATTTGAACAAAATTCTTTAAATGATTGAATAGATGTTGGCGGGTCACATTAAACGTCTTCTGAACGTGTGAAATAGAAAGTGCGTCGTTTGCATTTAATTTGTCGATCACCCTCTTTAAATCATCAAAATGAACATAAAAATAGCTTACCTCCTCTAACCATGTGCCCTAACGCATCACAATGGATGTGGTGGTAATGTCGTATGCGGCAGTTCGCTTTCAAATAATTTTCTTTGAGACGGCGCTTTTCAAAATGTCTTCTTCACATTGGCTATTAATCTGTTGCCTATTGTGGGATAGCCGTCTCTAACTGTTTCTGCAATGCGATGAAGTCCGTAAACATGTAATAAGTTTACGTACTTGTATGTGTTTTTTAGGCGCACTGCAGATGTCTTTATATAGTAAGCTGCGGCGGTTACATGCTGTAACACTCGTCCTTTATTGTTCTCCAAGTTGGCGTTCCATATTTTTCTTAGAACAAAAAATGACAAGCACTATTTTGGAGGTTAACTGCAGGAAGCAGATGTTGTCGCAAGAGACTACCGCAGCCATTCTGACGACCCGTATAGTGAAATCGAGCGCTGCCATCACAGTGAAAGGGTTAAAATTGTGCTTCTGCAAAAACATCTGTTTTTCACCATGTTGTATACCTATGTACATTCCGATCTATGTACGATCCTGGAATCTACTATTTACTCACGGTCTTTAATAATAATTTACGCCCTAACGTCAACTAATTTTACATAATTTTTCGCTCCAAGTGATCATCTGATCTGCCTAGCTTGCTCCTAGTTAAAAATAGATATGGGCTGGATTTACCCTGCATATTGTCGTTATAAATATGTGCATATAGCATGCATTTTTTGCAAGGTCTTTTTAATATTATAAGATGTCGAACATATGGGCCCTTGCACCTACCATTGTCCAAATGGGAATTTAATTTCTTCTATACGTAAAATTAAATTTTTTTAAAACTGAGATATTCCATGTTAATGATTTATTAATTAAAAGTTGTACCAAGAGAACTTAATTATAGGCCAATATTTATGAAGCTATTAGCATTACGATCATGTAAGACTTTTTCCTCACCGTGTATATGTCGATATTTATTCCTGTGACGATTCACACCAATACTGTTAGCTTCTGCCGGAATAGTCTCAAGGGAATAAAGAATAATAAGTTCCTTGTACATTTAGCATTCGTTTATTGATCTAACAGTGGCGTCCAGTGTACTAATAAATACAGGACTGTAAAAATTAATTAGATTTGTGAAATAGGGTAAAAAGGAACCAATTTAATGCAGTAAGCACGACTAAGCAAGATGGTTCCCCTTCCCGTTATTGGGCGGTTTGGAAAAGTATTGTTTAAGTATTCTTGAACTAAACCGTAATTATGAGTGGGACAACCATCATGTTGGAACCAAATGTCACCAAATCTTTTCCATGCTATCAAACGAATTTCCAGAACAATACGTTGCTGCAGTAATCTAAGTATTTAGGACCAGTTAAATCGCCTTCTATGAAGAATAGGCCACCTTTATTTCTGTTGCTCGTGATTGAGGTTCAAAGCAAAATGATACTGAAATTTAAAATGAAAAACCGTGCATACCGCTTCACGACTGTGCCAACGCTCAAATGTACATATTAACGGTCCTAGCTTGGCACTTTTGCTGCGCAGAGAGAGAATAAATATCTCTAGTGTGGGACAGAGACGAGCCAAGCTTTACATTGAGAATGCGGAGTTTAGACCATTGCGCATCCAAGCTCAAGTACCAAGCTAGGATAGTTTAGTGATAAATTCGTGGTTTTATCTATATAAAAAGTATATCTGTACTTGGCGCGTGTTATTGAATTCCCCACCATCCATTATAGCCCAATAAGGCCTTAATATGAGGGACTCAGATAGAGCTAAGTGGTTAATTTATTATGGCTATTATGAAATTAGGATTTATGTTCAAAAGAAATCTTCTAGCTGCATTTGTTAAAAACTTAGATTTGAGTCATAACCCGTTATGGTTTTCAGATACATATATATTATATTTGATATCAGAATAAGACGTTCTATTCAAATAAGGAAACATATTTGGAGACTTCCATAAAGAAATAAATTTTTATTTGATGTTCAATAATTGTTTTTCTGTTAATGTATCAGGATTTCTTTTTAAAAACCCCATAAAGAAGCATTCTAAAATTTTTTTTCGTATCTCCAAATAATCAAAAAATGGGAGTGGGAGGCTCATTTGGATAACCCGGTACTCTCTACACATACAGGGCGATTATAAAGTCTCGATCCATTTTAATGAAAACGCAACTATATTTTCTTTTTGTTGCAAACACTTGTTAATTTTAGAGGAGAGAATAGACGTCGTTAGTGCTCATATGCCAGATTTAACTTACGAACAAGCTAGAGAAGATTTAACGCAAATTTCGAAAGAGTGAATATTCGACTGCTTTAAACAAATATCAACGCACCGGAAACGTTAAGGACGAGGAACATTCAGAAATGCCATCCCTATCTGCAGACATAGTGCAAAATGTTCAGGAAGCCATTAAACAAAGACCTTCTGTATCAACGGACCAATCAGTCTATCAACCGTTTTCACTAAAATGGATTGAGACTTTATAATCACCCTATATAAAAGCGTACATTTACTTTTTTATCTCTCTAATAAATTGTTTCCAACAAATAGTATTTAGCCAACACAAAAAATAATATTAACTAGAAAGAGAGCAGAATTTTAGGTCTGGATCCTTTTTTCGAGGATTCATTTGATATTCAAAGTGTCAACCGTATAAAGTACACAAAAGTGGAGCACATATTTATTTTTTAAGTAAATAATGTGTATACGCAAAATTGACAGTAAAGGGAACACGGATTTTTTTCTGGAGTTGTTACTTTTCTGTTAAAATCAATCTAACATACATTAAAAAAATATATCTATTATCTATTGAAACTTTCAATAGGATTGCCTACTTTTTACTTTCTGGATGGAAAAAATATGTAATAAAAATCCCAAATGAAGTCTTGAAGAAAAATGGGCCAAACTGCTTTGATATTAAGTACTAATAGAACTAAACGTGTCGAGATTAAAATTCTCTGTGAAAAGGTCTCTTGATATGTCCTCAAAAAGCAGCAGTTTTCTGGAAAAATAACTTAAGATTTTTTTGATATAATACGTGACCGTTGAACAACACTAATACTTCTGAAACTATCAACTCATATTTTTTCGACGGATTTGATGAAAAGTTTAAATTCTGGATACGGCGATATGACCATCGTTCAAACTTATTTTTCCAATTTTTAAATCGACTGAAACTTTGAAGTCAAATATAGCATCATGGTCGCGTGGTAAGGACACTTGCCTCTCACCCTAAAGTCCCGGGTTCGATCCCCGGTCGTGACGCACAAGGTACTTTGAGGTACCTTTAGGGATACAAGGGGTTGTATTATCTGTAGTGTTTAATTAATTAATTAATCTCGAAAAGTTTCCTTTTCAGCATGCCACTTTCTTCATACCAGCGTATGCAGAAAAGCATCCTCTATACGAATCTATAAAAAAATATATGTTGCCATTTAAGACAAAAAAATGCAATCAAAGAATACAATTTATCAGAAAAAAATGTTCTTTTGAAAAACAAAACTAACCTGTCCGAGGATTTTTTTGCAAAAAACCTTCCTGGAAAGGTTGATTGAATTTGTTCCATATATAATCATCACACTGTATTAGCTCATTCTTCTTATATATTTTAAGAATTCTGAAATTTTATTTGTTTCTTATTTATGCATTTCTAGAAAAAAAAAATAAAATAATTTTTGGGTATTACATAAATATCCTATCAAACCTAACATGAAAACAATAATAAATACCTATATTTTTTTAGAAATGTATAAATACGAAGCAAATAAAATGTCAGATTTTTTAAAACATTGAAGACGTTATCAGCGTTTAATTAAGTTTGGTCTAAGACTAAATAAATTGTTTATTGTCAAATGATGTGATATGTCGCATTTTCTCGAATATATCTAAGTGTTTGTTTACATATATTTTTTTGTTGCTGACAAGAAACTTCACTCAATAATCATGAGTATAATACTAAATATTCGTGAATGAAACTTAGACTATTTGAAAAAGGAGATTTATTCCTTTTTTGGCTTAATCCTACTAGCCGTAATATCAATACTAGATCAGGCCACAAACCATCTAAAGAAACTAAGTTATCTTTTTGCAATTTCTGTATCTCGTCAACATGTATCACAAATCAAATTTAATTAAAAAACAGTAGAAAACATCCAAGAGAGAGACAATGGCCAAGTGAGCCAAGACCCAATGCAGACTCACGACACACTCGTGCGTATACTGTAGGTTCGATCCCTGCCGTCACCAGAAAGATTTTTCTGTTGTGAGTGCAGGAGTTTGTAAGTGTAAAATGGAAGGTATTATAAGTTTAATATTCAAAACGGAGAGGTAAGTCATGAACTTTTTTACTACTATGGTTATAATCTTTCATAGCTGAAAGGAAGTTATGAAGTCTTCAAAGTCAAATCTTTTTAAACTAACGATTCTTCATGCATTCAAACTGATCTTCACTCAAAGTGGTTCACATACAAATTAGTCAAATTAGATCATTATCTTTATTATACAGGACGTGATTTCGAATAAGGAAGTTCCTCCAAATGAAATTGAAGAGTTAGGAAGTGCCCTGTAAGAGGATTAATAAACAACGTTATTAAAAGTATGTCCTGAAGATATCAAGAGGTCCATAAAGGCTATAAGAGGTCAGACTCACTATTAAATTTTGATTTTTATAAGTTGTGATCATTGCTTTGTTGCGTTAAATTAGAAATAAAGTGTTTCGTAAGTTTAGATATTTTTTAATTTTTGTCTCATCAAAAAAAAATCATAACTTTTAGCACAAATGAGCTAGGATGAACGATAAAGAAGCAAGGTATAATTAAGACATGAGACTAAATAATGCCATATAAATAAATTATATGTAAAACTAATAATAATAATAATAATCATACAAATAATAATAATATTTTTTATTCCTCCCGTGAGGCGTCGGAGGCCACGGGAGGACTGACCGGCATCGAAAAAAAAAAAAAAAAAATATTATTTATTTATTTTTTTTTCGGTTTCCCGATGCCGGTCAGTCCTCCCATGGCCTCCGACGCCTCACGGGAGTCGCGCCGGCGCATCAACTACAGCCACTCCCCACATCCCGCAGGTTTAGTGACTGTAGATACCAGAATCGTGTGCCCTAAGCAGACGGAGAGAACCCAGAATGACCGCCTTCTGCATTTGACCTGCCAGCCACTCGGCTGGTTTTTGGCAGGCCGGTATGATCTTCAGTTCCGAGAGCAGCGTAGGCTTTATCCCTCCGAGTACACCGATAATAAGGACGACCATTTTGACCGAGTAGCCTGGGTACAGCACTTGGAGCTCGTACCGGAGATCGCAATATTTGGTCCGTTTCTCCTCCTCCTTCATGGTGATGTTTTTCTCCGCAAGTGCCGAGAACTCGATGACATACATCACCTTGAGTTGATGGTCGAGGAGGACTATGTCAGGCTTGTTGGCTTGGATTAGCCTGACAGTCGGGAACGAGTAGTTCCAGTAAATCCGGCATTTCTCGTTCTCGACAACGGACTCAATATCTCCGGGGACGTAAGGCAGCACTGGTGTCTGGTCTACCCCGTACGAGTGTCTTAGATGGTAGTATAGCACTCGTAAGGCTGCGTTATGTCGGTGTATGTAGGCCGAAATCGCATATATGGGGCATGCAGAAAGTAAATGCATGAGCGATTCCGGCGCCTGATGGCAGGTCCTGCAGTTGATATCAGGAACCTCTACACGCCACACGCGGCTACGGTAGACCAAGGTGTTGATAACACCATCTTGGCAGGCCATAATGAATCCCTCGGTCTCCGACTTAAGCCCTGCTGACCTTAGAAAGGCGAAGGTCAGCCTGGTCGATAAACCCAGTGTTTCGATGTTCTTATAGAAGACACCATGCTGGGGTTTATCGACGTGCTGCCGAAACAGATTTTCCTGTTCGGCAGCTCTGATTCGGGCTTTCAGACGATTTGGCTGAAGTTCGGTGACTGACTCAACATCAACACCTCGCCGGCCTCCTCGCCTGATGTCAAATGCGAGACCGAGTTCATCTGCGGCTCTTTTTGCTGCCTTGAACAATCCTGCTCCCACTCCTACAGTTTCGTGATGTTTTACGAACCGCAAGAGGGGATCTGAGCTCCTGAGTATGTTACATGCCATACTCAGTACTACTCTGCCATGCGTACACTACAGGCTCAAGAGTCCTCGGCCCCCCCGTTGACGTGGGAGGTACACACGAGGAACGGACGATCTAGGATGAATACTTCTGTGAATATTCATCATCTTGCGGGTATCTCTGTCTAATTGACGCAACTCATCTACCCTCCACTTTACTACTCCGAAGGAGTAGAGCAGAATCGGAACGGCAAGCATATTAGTTGCAGACACCTTGTTCTTCCCCGAAAGTTCGGAAGACCAAATCTTTCGGAGGCGGTGTCTGTACTTGCCGCGGAGAGAATCTTTTATTTGTGATACATCCTGGATGTGCCTTTGTTGCACACCCAGATATGTATAGGTCTCTCCGGCATCCAGATGTCTTAGGATGCTTCCGTCTGCGAGCTGCGCGTCTTCAGGAAATTCCCCGCATCGTCCTCTCTTGAGGTGGACGACTGCACATTTGTCCAACCCGAACTCCATACCAATTGCCCGCGTATATTCTTCGACCACCCTAAGAGCGTTTTGTAGTTCGCGCTCTCCGGAGGCATAAAGTTTAAGGCCATCCATATAAAATAGATGGGTGACCTTATGCCTCCGGTCGCAGGCAACGGCAGCAGTGAGATGCAGAAGAGGAGAGGACTCAGGAGTCACCCTGGAAAACTCCTCTCCTAAATGCCACCTGCCCTGTCGTGACCCGCTGTACACCTGATGTTATGGTGAAGCGGGTCTTCCAGAGCGGCAGCAGCTGTTCTATGCATCTCACTAGTGGTGCTGGTACCGCAAGACATTCTAGCACGTACAACAATAGCTCATGCGATGTTGTATCAAATGCCTTGCGGTAATCAATCCAGGCCATCGATAGATTCCGCTTGTATTGCACAGAATCCTGTGTAATACAGCGGTCTATCAGCAGGCTGTCCTTGCAACCTGCCATGCCCTTCTTGGCACCACGCTGTTCGTGTATCTGCTGGAAGACCGGATCAACAGACCTCAGCGTCCTAGCATACAAGATACGTGTAAATATCTTATAGCAGGAGTTAAGGCAAGTGATCGGCCTATAATTCCTCGGGTCGGAAAGATCCCCCTTTTTGGGAATTAGCACAGTACGTCCCTCGACGAACCAGTCCGGAATCTGCTGCCCCTCATTCAACCATCAGTTGAAAACTCGCGCCAGACGGCGGTGAGTGGAAGGAAATTTCTTCCACCACCAGTTGTTAATGCCGTCTGGGCCCGGGGCAGCGAAGTTCTTGGTACCAACAAGTGCTTGTTGGACTTCCTCCGTACTGATTGCCGGGCACACTTCTTCTGGCTCTTCAAGATGTCTGTGACACAGAGCCTCGAAGTGTGCAATTGATGGAGTGTCGCTATTGAATGGACGCGGCGTTTCGTAGATTCCCTTCCAGAAGGTTTCGACATCTTCTACAGTCGGCGGATTCTCGACAACACGCTGTGGCTCTTGAAAGAGGCGGGAAGGATTCGTACGGAACAAATTGTTTTGTTCCATACTCCTCACCCGCCTCTTCAATATTTTCTTTATCGCCATGAGCGCTCGGATCCTATCTAGACAGTGCTGCTTGATGGTAAGCATCACTGTCAGATTTAGAGTATGGTGTTGACGTCTTAATCCGGCAGCTATGCGCCGGATCCTGGGAGTAAAAACTCTACCAGTCGTCTTGTATTCCACCACACTCTGTATCCGAGAAGCGTGTTGTCTGGCCGACTGTATCTTGCCTTCGATTTTTTGTACACGCCGCTTGGCTTTCTCGACCCCGTGATTGGTTGACCTCTCACGGGCGACGAGTTGCTTCGCGGCGTTGTACACGGCACAGTTGATTTGCCAGATGTCTACATCTTCCGGAATTTCCTCATCGATGACTGCGTCCATTCTAGCCAGGTCTTGTGGCTTTAGGTTAGCCCTGGTGTTAAGGCTAACCCTCGTCCTTAAGTTTACACCGGTGAACTCTAAAGGATGTTCCCCATCAGCTGGTAATTGCCGTGGTGGGACTGCGGCTGGCAGTTCTTCTAGCTGACGGGGTGCCCTTACCTAACCTGTCCTGAGCAGAAAGGATACTTGATCTCTCAGATGTTGTTGAGAGAAGGCGCGATGCTCTGGATGCATTTCGCACCAAAGT